GCTTTTTGGGCTCCAATCCCCCGTGCGGGGGGAAATCCCCAAAAGCCGGACATGTCTGGGAAAATCGGGACATGCCGGGCCGGCAGTGGCGGGCTGGGGGCCGGGCCGGCGGTGCCGAGCCGGGGGTGCTGAGCCGGGGGCCGGGCCGGGGACCGGCAGTGCTGGGCGGGCCGGGGGTGCTCAGCCGGGGGCTGGCCCGGGGCTGGCACCCCAGGGCCCGAGCTGACCCAGGCTGGAGACGCTGGGGGGGCCAGACTGGGCCGCGCCTCCTCCCCCCACCTCCCCCTTACCTGCTTCAGGCTTCCCGCGAATCAAATGTTCGCGGGAAGCAGGGGAGGGGGCGGAGTTGGGGCGGGGACTTTGGGGAAGGGGTGGAGTTGGGGCGGGGGCGGGGCTGGGGGCGGGGCCCCGCGGAGTGTCCTCCTTTTGGACACTCAAAATATGGTAACCCTACTAGTGAGAGAGACCACACTGGCAGCACAGAGTGACTGGATTAGCTGCAGATGAGTTGCTGTAAGTGGAGCCGTAGTATCCCCATTATTAGCTAGAGCATCAGCAAGTTGCAACAATGGAGCTTCAACCCATCCCTTCTGGCAGGCGAGCAAGCTCCCGTTTAAAACCCCACTTCACTTGGAGCTAGAGATTGTTGTGTGTGGATGCGGGTCAAGTTAGGGGTAATTTTCAAGTATAACTGGAGCTAGCTATGCTGTGAAGACACACCCTAAGACATTGAGGGTGTCTATGCTACACGGTAAGCTCAGATTTAGTAGAGCTCGAGTTAGCAGACTTGGGTTTGTTAGCCTAGGACTTGAGCGTCTACACTCATTGGTAACCCCAGGTTAGGAATTGTTGAACCTTGGGTCCCAACTTGGGAGTCCAGCATCTACACTGCGTTATGTGGACCTGACCCACAACCCATATCCCAGAGTTCCTAGCGCCCTCCCACAACGTGGCCACTCTAGCCCTTTGTTCATGGTGCAGTGTGGGAAAACTTGACTGTCCTCCAAACTTGACTGTCCAGGGAACAAAGAAAGACAGCACATGGGATTATGGGATACTTTTGGTGGACTCCCACAACATGTGTCCAGCGGAGCTGCATCTACACCACAAAGAAATAGGACTTGAATCCTGGGTCCTGGCTTGACAGGCTCAGACCCTCTAATCCCTTAGGGTCCTGAGACCCTGAGTCTGATTAGTGCGATTTGTGTGTAGATGGAAGAGAGGTTAGGCTTGAGCCTGAATTTGAATCCTGGCCTTACATCGCAGTGTGGACGTACCTGGAATGATAAAGCTTATGCCAGTCTGCTAAGGAAGGTAAGGAAGGCTTGACTGGCCTCTCAGAGGGTGGGAGAGAAGAGGCAGCCAGTCAGAAAGAGAGAGTCAGAGGCAACAGATTTTTTTTTTTAGTAATCATCTCTGGCAGATACCGTTTTGAGGAACTCAATGGGAAACAGAAAAGTCTGAGGTTTTCCTTCTAGCTCAAGTTTACTCCCTCAGCAATCCCTTCTGCTCCTTGTTTCTCACTGTCATTTGAAAAATACTTTGCACTCAATAATGTTCATGGATAGGTAAGTGAATGTTAACTCTGAACCCTAACAATGAAACTTAAAGTGTCAATATTATTAACTATTTCACTGTGAATCATTGTAGACAGAATGGGTCACTGCTCTGAGATTGAGGGTGGGGTTTGGGTACTAATATTCCCACTCCAAAAGTGAGTAAGAGAGCAGAGCTGTGAACTCTGGAGTGTGGATGAAGGAGTGAATTCAGTGAGGAAGGATGGTCCACTGGTTAGGGCACTTGCCTAGCACTTAGGAGAGCCAGGGTCAAGTCCCTGCTCTGCCACAGACTTTTGATGTGAACTTGGGCAAGTCACTTAGCTCTCTGTGCTTCATATATTAAAGATTGAAAGCTGCTCTGTTACTATGGAGATAGGGGCCACATACGTACTGTACCATACAATTTCAACTGTGTCTAACAATCTTGCCAAAGCACAATTTAAATTTGGTTGTGGTTCAGCAGGATCCTCAGGTATTTTGGCTAGCTAGTGGGGGTGGGGCCGAAGTTGGCATATGGACTTCTCCAAATGAACTGGTCTTCCTGGGGTAGCTCTCATTTCGCAGGTGCTGTCTAAGGCTCTGGTCACCTTTAAAAATGTGCCAGACTCTGACCATCCACCAGATGAGGCCTACAAAGGGAGCAGCTCACCAGAGGCTGTTCCTCTCCCTCCCTTTCTCAGGGCCACAGGCCAAAGGGGAGGGTGTAGCAAAGTGGGGGCCAGCTACCATCCCCTGGAGTTGCTCCACTCCCATTAACAAAGTGATCCCTATCTGAGTCTGATGCCAGGAAGCAGAGAGCCAGGTCCATCCCACCAGCCAGACCACCTACCTACTCCTCTAGACTCCCACTGTGACCCCCTACTCCAGTTGGGTATGACAGCACCCAATTACGAGTTCCCGCAGTCGCCAGGCGAGATCTCTGGGAAGCGGGGCAGCCATCAGGGAGAAGGGTGGGGATGCAGCGCCCTATTGCTGCCTATTGAATATTGTCTCTATGATTCACATTTCTCAGTGCTGTTATTGTCGTTGTAGCCAGCGTGAGGTGAGAGGACCCAGACTGCTGTAGGCATCTCCTATTGGATGCTCCATCCAAGATGGCTGCCCTCATCACTGAAAACTTCCGCTTCCTTTCTCTGTTCTTCAAAAGCAAAGATGTGATGATCTTCAATGGCCTGGTGGCCCTGGGCACAGTGGGCAGCCAGGAACTCTTCTCTGTGGTCGCCTTCCACTGCCCCTGTTCTCCGGCCAGAAACTACATCTATGGACTGGCTGCTATCGGAGTCCCAGCCCTGGCCCTGTTCCTCATCGGCGTCATCTGGAACAACCACACCTGGAATTTGGTAGCTGAGTGCCACAAGAGGGGGGCCAAGAACTTCTCGGCCGCAGCCACCTTCCTGCTCTTTGGCTCCATCATAGGGCGGGCTGCCGTGGCCCCTGTCACCTGGTCGGTCATCTCACTGCTCCGCGGAGAAGCCTACGTCTGTGCCCTCAGTGAATTTGTGGATCCTGCCTCCCTAGATAAATTTCCATCCCGATATGGACCGGAGACCCTGGCCAGGTTCCCTTGTAAGGACATTCCCGGGAACTTGACAAGTTTTAAGGAAGAAGTTATAAGAAGACTAAGATACGAGTCGCAGGTATTGATTGACTTGTATGTCTGGGTGTGGAAGGAGTGTTGACAAGGGGTTAGAGGAGACTGGAAGCCAGGTCTCCTGTGTACTATTTCTGGCTCAGGCTGAGTGTGTTGTGCTGGAGTCAGAGAAGGAGACTGGGAGCCAAGACTCCAAGGCTCAGAGACAGAAATTGAAATCCTGGCCCCATTGAAGTCAATGCGAGTTTTGCTATTTACTTAATTGAAGCCAGGATATTACACAGTGTTGTCTAGTGGTTAGAGCAGGACACCTGGGCTGTATTCCTGACTCTCAGGAAAGTTACTTTCCCCCCTTGTGCCCCATTATCCTCCTCTCTCTCAGGGAAATAATACTCACTTTCCCCTCTGGGGCTTAGCCTATGTACCAATAAATTCTCATTGAAACTGCAACACTGGGAAGCCAAGACAAGCAAAATGGGGAAAGCGGCCCTGAAACACCCAGCGCTGCTCTGAACTGCGACAGGGCAGGATGCCCCTCCTGTCTGTTCAAGCAACAAACCGCTCAGAGCTTCGTAGTTACAATATCGGACACTCCTTGACTCACTCGGCCAAGAAGTGGGGAGACAGAAGGCATCTTCCCCATCGGAAGTGGGGGGTGAGGGGCCAGCAGCATCAGGGCACACTCAGGCTCCACCTCCTCTTGAGCACACATCCTTCCTATGCCTTTTCTACTTTCTAGACTGAGTTAATTACCCTGGTAGCTTTCTCCTCAGTCTATCAATTAGGCCCAGCGTTGCCCCTCAGGTTTCCTCTGGGGTGATTTAATGGATGTTCCCATGATCAGAGTGCTGGTAGAGCTGCTGTTGCCCAGCACTCTGACACAGAAGCCCGTGTCCTATGCCCGTGAGCACCACGTGTTCAGAAATCTGGAGTGACTGACACCTCATCTGAGGTGCGAGTTGTCCCAGGCTTAGCTACCAGAAACCGGTACAGTTTTTACATTAATAATCTGCTTTGGGGGAAAACTTGCTTTTAAGACACATGTTCATGGCTTTGTGAGGACCTACCCTCCCTCCTCCCCCCAAAAGCAGCATTTGTTAGGTGCAAGAGGACAATACATTATCCAGACACCGGGAGATCAGTTCTCAGAACCAACTCCACATCAGCCAACCCGGGGCTTGGCAATACCATGTTGGATCTGAGTTAGACTAGTCTGTTCACTCTGCAGTGATTCCCCTGCGGCCCAGTCAGGAGCAGAAGTGATGGGGGTGGCCCTGAATTAGAATAGAACACAGGTTCTCAAACTGGGGGTTGGGACCCCTCAGGGGGTCACGAGGTTATTACATGGGGGGTCACGAGCTGTCAGCCTCCACCCCAAGCCCTGCTTTGCCTCCAGCATTTATAAGGGCGTTAAATATATAAAAAAGTGTTTTTAATTTATAAGGGGGGGTTGCACTCCGAGGCTTGCTACGTGAAAGGGGTCACCAGTACAAAAGTCTGAGAACTACTGGAATAGAAGGAGTTGCCCAGGGTGCATTGGCCAAGCTGTGAGGGGTTCCAAGTCTGGAGTAGAGGGGGAGAGTGCAGATCAGGCCTGAGGTTCATCAGCTGAGCTGTCTTGGCTCCAGTCGGAAGAGCAGGAACTGTTGCCGGTCAGGACTGAAGGGCATTGGCAGAGGAGTTCTGGGAATCTCACACAGCACCTGCATCTGCCTATGCTCTAGTCAGCGCGATCAGTACTGCATCACGTTCACAGAGACACGAACAAAAAATCCAAGCGCTGGTGTCCTCATGAACTGGGGCAAACCCCAGTAGGAAACGGGGCAGGTTCTTTAATCGGCGCTTGGACTGATGAGCTGTTCTGATGTAGCCCTCTCTGTCTCTTTCTCAGCTCTTTGGATGGCTGCTCATTGGGGTCATCGCAGTCTTGGTTTTCCTCACCAAGTGCCTGAAGCACTGCTGCTCGCCGCTCGGCTACCGGCAAGAGGGCTACTGGTCCCAGTACCGCTCGAGCGAGGCCAAGCTCTTCGAGCGCACTGCTGAAGTCCACTCCAAGATCCTGGCTGCCAACAACGTCAAGCAGTTCTTCGGCTTCGTGGCTCTGAATAAGGAGGAGAAGGAGCTAGTGGAGGAGTTCCCAGTGGAGGGCGTCCAGCCAAGCCCGCAGTGGAACGCCATCACCGGGGTCTATATCTACCGGGAAAATAAGGGCTTCCCACTCTACAGCCGGCTCCATAAGTGGGCCAAAGGGGTGGAGGGGAACGGGCCAGGGCCTGATGGTCAGGAAATGGTCTTCCTAGCCACATAAGAGAACCAGCAGCCCAGGGGGATGACAGAACCAGTTCCCCACACCATCTTTATGATATGGAGATATACCTATCTCATAGAACTGGAAGGGACCTTGAAAGGTCATCGAGTCCAGTCCCCTGCCTTCACAGCAGGACCAAGTACTGTCCCTGACAGATTTTGTTGTTGTTGCCCCAGATCCCTAAATGGCCCCCACAACCCTGGGTTTAGCAGGCCAATGCTCAAACCACTGAGTTATCCCTCCCCCGCAGACTTTCCCATCAGACATTGCTTCACTGTATGTTCAAATAGGTAAAAACGGCACAGGAGCACGGCTAGTCGCTTTGCTGCCAATTCTCCTCCAAACAGCTGTTCCTTCTGGGCACAGCAAGGGAGGAAGGATGAACAGCTTCAGGCTAACGACCAAGCGCATGGTGCCAGGAACCAGTCTCTAAGACACAACCGTGCACTGCTGCTCCCACCCAGAGGACATGGCACCTAAAGCAGGTACGTGCACCTTGTCTCCAGACTATCAGTGCTGCAGCCCTACTGTTCTGAGGCACAGACCGAGGCCCCCAGGTCCTGCGTACACAAAGACACGTATCTGGTTTCCCATCTTTAACACCACACTGCCAGGGTTTCCCCATCTCAGCTACGAATGCTGCAGCCTCTTTGCTCTCCTTCATGTCAGGGTCAGGACAAGACCACCCAGCACAACTGCCTATTTTATTATTAAGACTTTATCTTGCAGTTCTATAGCATAAAGAAATTCCCAGGGCACCTGATGGGCAGCTGCATCTGGGGTGGAACACAACAGCAGTCCATCAATGCACAGAAAAACTCCAGAATGTAAGGGTTTGTTTACATGAAGGAAGGGAGGGGGCGGTATGCCCTAACTTGGATTGGCGCACATTGCAATGACCTGCATTCACACAATGCAGACCCTGACAGCGCAGTAGCGCCATAGCTAAAGGGTACAAAAGTTCACCGGGCACTGAGTTAATACAAACCCATGTTCGTGTACGCACATTGCTCATTCACACTATTTTGGCAGTCCTCTAAGTGCCATCCCACACTGCTTTGCATGTCCCCAGGATTGACCTGTCAGTTTCCCTAGGTATCCTCCCCCTCCACTTCTCTGGGGTCAAGTTGACCTGATGCCAGCAAGTAGGCCACTGATATTGCACAGGGAAATTTAACAAAGTGGAATGTAATTACCCCCATTGGAAACTGGCCAGGACACCAAACACCCTTTTTCATGAGCACAAATGGTCGTCAACTTGGTTGTGTGTGTCTGGAAGACAGCACCGTCAGCAGACCTACATCCTGCTGAACTGGCTTGGGACACGTTGAGTCACCATCACCACTTCCTACAGCACCTTGGGCTTCTCATCCAAGCACTGACCAGCTTCGCCCCTGCTTAGGATCTGAGACATGGCAAGCTCATAACCAGACTTAGTTACAATGCACACCCTTTATGCTTAATTGTATCAGTTAAGCATCTTTCTCCTACTGGAAGGAGACCAGAAACCAGCCAGCCAAAAGACTGCATTATGAGCACGGCTTGTGCCTGTAGAGACTGAGGTTTGCACTGATTGGAAGCAGTGGGATTCAGCCATGGGAAACAGTGACCACTCCTCCCTTCTTTCATTGGGCTTTTTAAACTGTTTCCACTGCCTTAGATGGCTCCTGAACGAGGTCCTCGCGGATTCTCTCTCAAGAA